AACAATGCCGGGGGGCGGGTAATGTGTGGCCCAGGGAGGTTCCCAGTGGGTATGTCCATGTAATGCCCATCTTTGAGGAGGGGCTGCATCTCCCCAGCTTTTGGGAAGAAGGTATTCCCAAGAGATGCATATTCAGGGCTTGGGGCTGTCTTAGCTGAAGGCTCATGGTTGCTTCTCCGAGAACCAAAGTTGAACAAAACACAAAGAATCGCTTTTAGGATAATTAAAACTATTTTGCATTTGTTTTTATTTATCAATCTGGTGTCTAATATAATTTCAGTTAAATGAAAGACATTCACAAAGAATATTAGGCATACGTACATAATTCCCTTCGTTCATTCTAGTTTACATGCTGTTGCTTTTAGAGAGTGAAATTCTGTGTTATTTCACAGGGACGGAACCCTAAGTGACTTTACAGAAAGAATATTTAGCCCGACTTTTCACGACGCTAAACCTCCGCAGTCACCACGCTCACTGAACGAATGAAAAACCCGAAGAAATGAAACTCGGAATCAGTGACACTCAGAACTACTTCTGGGCCTGCCTGAGAGGGGCTTCCGTGTGTTTGCGGCCACCGTGGTCTGGCGTTCACTGGAAAGGAGCCGGGGCTCAGAAACGGTGCAGACTGTCTACAGAGGCCTGGTCTGGAAGCACACTTTCACCTGGAAAGCAGACCTGGGGACGCGTGTTAGACGCTGATGCTGAGGTGCCCGTCTGTCCTCATCACCTTCTGCCAGTCTTTGCTCAGCAGGAGTGAACCGGCTTTTCCACACGGCTTCCCATTGCATCGACGACCTGTTTTACATGCATACGACTTGTCTCTGGAAAGCACTGCTGGGAAAGACATCTGAGGCTTCCAACATTACCAGCAGGCTACGCAAAAAGCCGCATTAGTTTTTCGTGTTGTCTAATTTCTCAGCCATTCCGATCACCCGGAGGGCGGGGGTAAGCTGCGAGGCCCACGCGGGGGGACCTGAGGGCTTTAGGTGAGTGCAGCCCGACTTCTCTGGCCTTGAGCTGTGTGTGTGGCGGCCCTGCTGTGCTGGCGGCAGCTGACCTCATAAATAATTCAGCTGTTGCTCGGCAATGCCCCGCATGTCTCCGCCTTCCTGGACACATCCACAGGGCTTCTTTCTATGTGGCTTACAACCAACCGCAGGCCAGAAAGTGTGTCTTCCGCGAGGCTCCACGGGCTCGGGCCTTTGTGTCTGCATCTCAGTGTTCTGCAGTCAAGACGCAGCGCACCTCAAGACTGTCACATAAAGCAAGTAAGACAGCTGTAACTCAGATACGGGCAAAGGGGGACAGAGGTTCCTCGACTTGGCGAAGGTCACACAGCAATGCAGGGAGAGAGAGAAGGGGTTAGGACCCTATTGGGGTCCTCACTCCCCAAACATCATTAAAAAAATGGTGCCCGTCAATTTCTTACCTACTTCCCGATCTGCTGGGACTGGCAGTTTGCGACTTGTTCTGACTGGCTCACTGGAATTCAAATTAATAATTTAATTTGATAACTTGCTGCCCGTTTTTGAAAACATCTTGGTAGGATGGCGAAAAGGAGAACGAGTGGAAGACTAGAAAAATGCTGATCCCGTTACAGAAGGAAGTCCGAGTTTCTCCCCGACCCCACCCTCACGCTGTGCTTTCACATCTGGCGGCTGTCAGCTTCCCCGTAAGTGCACGCCGGGCGCAGCTGGTGCCTCTGTGCCTGCTCTCCACTGGCGCCTGGTGGTTCCATGGTAACATGAAGTCTCCTCAGGGTGCGGCAAGCCTTTCTCCCGCGCCCCTGAATTCCTGCTCCCCTTAGTCAGGGCTGCTCCTCGTCTGTCAAGTGCAGAGAACAGGACACTTCCCAACGGAGGCACTCCACACTCTCGTTTCCAGCTCTTCAGCAATGATGTCGCCCGAGCTGCCTTTCTGAGCGGTTGGTTGACAGCCACGAGGGAAAACACGGTCTTACAAAGAAGGGCCAGAGAAGAGCTTAGCCACAGAGTGGAGCGAGCTTCCTTGAGCTCCAGGGAATGTCTTATCTTGAGAGCTGACAATGGCACCGATTTTACATTCATTCAAAGTCCTCACTCCTGGCTTCTCAGAACATAGGTGCTCGCTGTGTACTCAGAAGACGTCTCCTGCACGAACAGCCCCAGAAAACTTTTTTTGTTTTGTTTTGTCTGTTCTCATTATGTAAAGATGCGCTGCCACTGGCCTTTTGTGCTTGACTGATAACGCACGGGGTGGGGGTGTCGAGACTCTGGAGACTCTGGAGACTCCGGGGACTGCGACCGACGAAGCAAGGCTGTGGGCGCTGAGCGCGGCCCCCGCCGCCTGGCCATCCAGGCTGCACCGTCTTCCACTTCCGAGGGAGGGAGCAGGAGAAAGGCTGAGTTTTCTCTCCTCACGTCAGCAGATGACTTGCCACTTAGAATGTGCTGGACGCAGCCTTCGCAGACAGGTTGGGGAATGACTGAAAAGCCCGCAGCCCTGAAGAGAAGCCAAGATTTCCGGCATCGTTTGTTTGACACTCAGTGCCTCGTCCGCCTTTCTGTGTCCTGTCTGCTGGGCTCAGGGTAACCCCCTAGAGGGCAGAGACTGTCCCTCCTCTGTGCATGCGAGGCGTCCCCAGTGACGGCGATCCCGGCAGGCATTCCAGTGCCCTCGGTGTGGAAATTGGGTCAGAGGAGTGTCGGGTGTTACTTTTAACGTCTTGTAGCAGGGAAGTGGGAAGGAGAGAGAAAGGAGGAAGGCTGAGGGCATTTTAGCATCAGAGGATGTCTTGGTGGTTTTCATTCCCCAGCCATCGGGGGAGGAGGGGGGCGTGCTGAGACAATGCAGAGAGGACAGAGCCATCCCGGGGAATGCAGGGAGTAATCCATGTCCATCGTGATCGGTTAAGTGCAAAGGTAGTGCCTTTTCAAAACTGTGTTTTTTTTGTAGTCGGAAACCTTTCTGTAACATAATGTCCAAAATTCGCTTTTTCAGTTCGGTGATAACCAAAGGAGCATGAACGGCAGTCGTCTCGGCTCCGTCAACAGCCTTGGTTTTCAGCGTCGTTTAGAAGGTTACAGGCCCCGGTGCTTCCTCCCGTTAATGGATTCCGTCTGTGATGCGTTCTGGGGGGCAGGAGCGATCGGGACTGTTCTCAGAGGAGAGGGTCCGTGAAAGGGCCTGAGGTCAGCAACCGGGAAGGGGGTTCGGGCTCCCCTTGGTTCTGTCGCCCTGACTTGGACGGGCCCAGGGCCTCCTGCGGAATGCGCGGCGCTGTCGCTCCAGGAGCCCGGCAGCTCTGCGTGACACTTTCCCTGCTCGCGACATGCAGGTCCTGCAATAAGCTCGGCACACCAAGCATCTTGAAAAGTGTGTATGCACAACCCAGGCAAACTAGGATTTCCACCTGACCGAGGAAGGCTATCGGAAACACAGCACTCATACCCTTTTAACCTCGTCTCACCTGGCAGGAGAAGGGAAAAGGGGCTCGAATGTTGGGCGTCTAAAGAAATTTTGAAAAGCATTGATTAAGTCTAAGAGCCTGAACTGTGATGACTATAAATGGTAGTTATTCTAGAAATAACTTTGATGCAATCTTTTATTAAATAAATGAAATTATTTTTTGGATGTGCCAATGGGAGCTTTGTCCCATTGGTTTACACACTGTCTGTTATTTTTTAAAATAAAACAAACGAGTTATTTGTCGAGATGAGTTGGTCAAGATTCCTGATCGAACGGAGGGGTGACCGACCAGACAGGTGCGTCCTCTGAGAAGCAACGGCCGGCGACCAGGGTGGCGCTGGACCCGAGCTCCAGACGCGTCTGCCAGAGAGGATGCAGCACCAAAGCAGCGTGTCCACTGCAGATGCAACAATCCAGGAGCAGGTGACGTAGAACACGGCAGTGTTTTCCCCCCGATGACTCCAGAGAACATAAACAATAATAATAGCAGTCATGACTTGGCCTTATCGTGGTGTGTCCGGTCACTGTGTGCAATGTTGTCACAGGGACTTAAAAACTAGAGACTTAAAGCAAAACGAGGAGTACCTACTTCATGCATCCACCAGGGGGTGTCAACACTCTTGCCACGGCCACGAGAGAAACAGAGCCAACGGGTCGCGACACCCGGCTCGAACGCCCCCGTGAGCTGCTCACACGCCTGTGGACGGTGACCCGGTACGTTGCAGGTAAAGCCGAGAAGAAATCTTTTTCACAACAGTTGGTCGCCAGTGGCAGGTCCAGATACTGAACGGGTCTAAGACCACGGACATGGAACAACGCGATCCCGCAGAATTCGATGGAGGATGAAACCGACGCCCCGGGCAGGGAAGCGCTCGCCCTGGCACTCCAGGCTCCTCTCCGTGGTGTCGGCGTTGGCGCCGGCCCGACAGCTGCACACACCTTCCTCCTCCGCCTGCTGCAGGCAGGAGCTCTCGGGAGCCCGGCGGAGATTGCGGTCTCTTTGAGAACTGGTGGACGGCAGGTTCTCTTCGCCCCTTTCCTTCCCTCTCCAGTTTACAGGACACCAAACAAAACAGTGGATGACGTGAGCTGGTAACCGCAGCAGCCCACTAGCGGCCGACTCTGTGCAAAAGGAAGGGAGCGCCGGAGGCCATGTCTCTGTGCATCAGCTTTCCTCGGAAAAAATACCCACCTCCCGAGGGCTCCTAAAAACGTAGAAAACTTGCCCTGTTACCGCGGGTTCTCAGAACACCTCTAAACACACACACAATAAAACAGGTATCACCTACAAACGTCAGCCGTTGCTAAAACTCTAAAAGCATTTTTGTATTATTTTTTTTTGATACAGAAGGGAAAACTCAGCTATAAAGAAATATTAAAAAGTATTACTTTTGTGTGTGTGCGTCTGTGTGTGGCGATCAGTCTCGAGAGTTTTCTGTTGCTTGCCTCCCCCAACTTGTGCTGACACTGGAAAGGGTGTGCCCAGGAGTATGAAGCAGGGTGCTCTGGCTCCCCTCCCCGCCCCCGCCCTCCCCCGCCGCCCGAGAGCCACCGCTCAGATGAGCCACTCCTTTTTGCTCTCGTCAATGGTCTCTGTGAAGTTGGGGTCGTTGTTCATGATGGCGGCGTCCGCGCTCTCCGCCGACTCCGCCCCCTTCGCTTCGTTGGTGTGGTAGGTCCCTTTGTGGCGGAACATGTACCGGATGAGGAAGACCAAGGTGCAGAGGATGGTGAAGATCACCACAGCGATGACGCCTGGCGGGGAGACAGGACAGGGGACAGGTTCAACAAATCTCGCATCTCCCCCTACTCCCCCCCACCTCACCACGGTTCCCCCAGAACCTGCCGTCTCCCACAAACACTCAAAACCGACTCCCACACCTGACAGGACTGGAAGGAGAATTAGACCCATTCACAATCACACTCGGAGGTTTCCACATTCTTCTCTCAGCAATTGGTAGAACAATTAAACAGAAAATCAGTAAGAATACAGATGGCCTAAAAAAAATACTATCAACAAACTTGACCTAAGCAACTAATGCTAATCCAACATATCTTTCTTCAGCTAGAGGAGGAGGGAATCCTTCCCAAGTCATTTTATGAGGCCAGTGTTGTCCCGACACCAAAACCAGACACATTATGAAAACAGAAAACTGTCGAGCATTGTTCCTCTTTAAAGAAGTTTTAGCAAATGAAACCCAACAATAGGTAAAAGGAATATATTGCGACAAAGTGGTGTTAATTCTAGGAATGCAAGATGGGTTTAATATTACAAAATAAAGCAATGTAGTTTACTACATTAGACAAATAAAGGAGAGATAAAAACATATGATCATCTCCAAAGATGCAGAAGAAGCATATGACGAACTTCACCCATTCACCATCGAACCTCTCAGAGAACTATCCATAGGAGGGAATGATCTCAGGCTGACAAAGGGATCTGTGAGAAACCCATAGCTACCATCCTCCTGAATGGTGAAAGGCTAAAAACACTCTTCCTAAAATACAGAAAAATGCAAGAATGTCAGCTGTCAACACTTTTATCCACAACTGCACTGGAAGTCCTAGCCTGTGCAATATGACAAGAAAAAGAAAGAAAAAGAGTACAGATTGGGAAGAAGTAAAAACTCTCTTTTTTCTCAGATGACATGCTTATCTATGTAGAAAACTCTCAGGAATAAAAAAATGTCAGAACTAACAGTGAATTTAGCAAAGTCACAGGAAACAAAATCAATACATAACATTCAACCGTATTTTTACATAGGAACAAGAAAGACTAGGAAAATAAAAGTAAAAAAATAATACTATTTATAATAGAACAAATTGAATAAAGTCGCTCCAGACTGTGCACTGAAAACCACAGGACCTTGCTGGGAGGAACTAAGGACCTAAATAAATGGATGGATGTACCATGTTCAAGGTCAATATTGCCAAGATGTTCGTTTGTAGCTCTAATGCAATCACGATGGAAATCACAGCAAACATTTTTTTGGTAGAAATTTATAAGTTGATTATAAATTTTCTAAGCTGTTTATAAATTTTATATGGCAAAGCAAAGGACTTAGGATAGCCAAAATAATTTTGGAAAAAAGAAATAATTGGAGAACTTATATGGCTTGTTTCAAGACTTACTATAAAGATACAGATATTAAATAAGCATGGTACTGATTAGGGAAAGTTATATAGATTAAAAAAACAAACAAACAGAATAGAGAGTTCACAAAATAGATACATGTCATGTGGTTACTGATTTTTGCCAAAAGTTCCAAGGAAATTATCTTGTCTTTTTCAACAAATGGTCTTGGACTAACTAGATATTTATTTGGAAAATGATGACTTTGACCTTTATCTCACACTATGTACAAACATCAACTCAAAGTGACTGTAAACTCAATAATAAAACTAAAGCTATAAAACATAGTAAAATAGAAGAAAATCTTCACAACCTTTGGGTAGGCAGATTTCTTAGAATTAAAAAAAATAAACTATAAAAAGATTAGAAAAATTGGACTTTATCAAAGTTAACATCTCCTGCTTTTCAAAAAATACCACTGAGAAAATGAAAAGGCAAGTCATGGACTAGGAGAAAATATTCACAATACATATGCCTGACAAATAACTTGTATCCTGAATATAAAAAGAACTCTTGCAACTAAATAGCAGGAAGTCAAACAATCCAACAATCTTTTCATGGAGAACGATTTAGACACACACTTCACAAAAGATTTACGGATGACAATATGTATACGAAAAGATGTTCATCATTACTAGTCATCAGATAGTTGCACATTGAAACCGCAATGAGATACCATTGGGGCTAAAATTAAGAAAATTGACAATACCAAGTGCTGAAATTAAGAAAATTGACAATACCAAGTGCTGAAGAGATTGTGGAGAAACTTAACCTTTTGGATACTGATTATGGGAATGTAAAATGGTCCGATCATCTTGGAAAACTAAATGGCATTTTCTTATAAAGTTAAATGTCCACTGTCTATAACACACAGCAATTGTACTCCTAGAATGTACCAAAAAAAAAAAACTTATGTTCTTACAAGATCTGTATAAGAATATTCATAGCAGCTTTACTCAAAATAGCCCAAATCTGGAAACAAACTAAACATCTACTGATGCAGGAGTAGATGAAACAAACTGTGGTACATTCGTGAAGTGGATACAACTCGGGAACTAAAGTAACAAACTAGCGATATGCAACAACGTGGCAGATCTCAGAAATCTCAGAAACGCCATGCGGACGAAGAGGTGAGGCACAGCAGACCACACGCGGGCTGTGCAACTCCACTCACACGCGACTCCGACAGAGGCAGAAGTAATCTGTGCGAGCAGGAGCAACCCAGGGGCCGCCTTGCCTGGGGGGGGAGGGCATGGGGAAGGATGGGCCACAGACGGGCGTGGGAGAGCTTTTCGTGGAAAGAGACGCCCTGCACCTCCGTTGTGGTGGTCAGGGGCGTGCGAGTGTCAGAATCACTGACCTGTTCTACTTCAATAACGCATTTTTTGGACTATAAGATGCGCCTAGGTTTTACAGGAGGAAAATAGGAAAAAAAAATTTAGAGCAAAAAATGTGATAAAATATTTGATATCATGAATAACATAATATTTCACCAATGTAAATGTAAACAGAACTCAACAGCAGCATTAACAACCATGATTCCTCCCAAATTTGGTGTGTGGGGGGTGCATCTTATAGTCCACCAAATACGGTAAGTCAATCTTAATAAAGCAAAGGACAATGAGATAAGGAGTATACCAAGCTTTGGAACTGTGACTAAGCAGCACTACACACACACACACACACACACACACACACACACACAATGCCGTCTTACTTATACATAAGACGTATCTATGCATGCTACACTCAGAGAGACAGAGACACGTCTGTGAACTAAGGCAGCGGCCGGGGGAGAGGGAGGCAAGGGAGGGCAGCGGGGTTCTCGGTGCTGATCCGAACGTGAGGGCGGTGCCAGGGGGTCCAGGTACTCTGCAGCAGCCGTGCTCAGAAAGGACTGGGGTACACTGGACACCCTAAACCAGACCGGCACAGCCCTTCCCATTTTCGCGGTGAGCTATGCTGGACCATCTGGGGCGAGAGAGGAGGGGTCACGAGAGACAGGCGGGAAGACAGGAGTGTCCGTCCTGGCTATGGCCTCAGCCGCCTCCTTCCAGGTGAGAGGCTGGCCAGCTCCCCACTGCCACTCTTTTACGAGTCCGCACTAGAAAGCAGCCAGGCCACGCTGACCGCCACCGCTTGGCCACGTCCGCACCTCGCAGTCTGGAGCCGTATTTAAACAGCAAACGAGTCACAAAAGCTTAGACAACTCGCTTTCTCCCCCCAGAGTATGATCCACTCGAAAACGACTGCCTCCCACAGGGGAGGGGCCACCCGAAAGCCCGTTCTCTGCGTCACCTACCTCCAATGATGGCCGAGTTCCTGTTGACTCCATTTCGTATGGCCTGGCCTTGACCTGGGTTGTACGGAAAGTCAGCACTGGCTGCGGGGAAAGAAATGAAAAGTCAGGTAGGAGGGCGAGGTATCCCGTTGATCCCGAGTGATCTGACACCTGTCTCTCCGCAGGAGTCTTTCCTCCCTGCTTCCCCAAACGAGGTCTCCGTTTCAGACGGACCCTCTGGTCACTGCTTCCCAAGGACCCCAGCATCCCGCCTGCGCCCCTGCTGGCTTCCCCCGCACGAGCCCCACGCACTGCCCTGCCCTCGGAGGGGACCGCAGAGAGCCTCACACTGCCCCGCTGCCTGCTCAGTCCCACTGACGGACGGACGAGCCCGCGCATCGCCGTGCGTTCTCTTCGGCTCGGCTGCACCGGCCCCCTGTCCCCTTTCGCCCCACTCACAACCGGTGGCCTTGGCTATGCTTACAGACGAGCTGTTTACAATGGACAGCATTCGTTTAAAAAGTCATCACCTCTCGGTATTAATGTTTTACATGGCTCTGATAGAACACTATGCTTCAGGAATGCTTTATAAGGGGGTAATAGTTCATGACGGTGAGAAGACTGTCAATGGCGTAATAAATACTCTCTTCCTTCCCCTATTATAAAAAAAATAGGAATCAGTTGCACGGAGCTTAGACGTTTGTCTCAGATAAAGTAAATTTAAAGCTGGCGAAAGGCAAACAGATCCTGAAGCCTGACCTATGGGTCAGGAGAGTATCTATTATTTATTTCCACAAGTTAATTTAACTTCAACGATGATTTCGTATTTGCTGGGCTTCCGCTTGGGAAGTTACCCTTTCCGGTAAATCTTCCAACAGTGGCAGCATCTCCTGTGGTGGATTATCTGAGTCTAACAAGAACCACGGCTAATGAACGGCACTCATTAATATCAAAATATGTAAAGCAGTTATTTGACATAGTTAAAAGCATACACGCTGATGGAATAGGTTTGTGTGGGGATTCAGGGAGTATCTTGCTAAGGACTTGGGTTTTCTAAGGCTGGTTTATTTCTGGAGCTACGGACGCCCAAGGACCCCAAGATAACAACCCAAATTAGGCAGAGTCCTTTCTCCTCCTGTGCCCTAAAAAACTGTGCCCCAAGGGAGACCCTGGGTCCCACCAGCATAGGCCATTTGATCCTTTCTCTCTTGGGCTTGAAATTCTGACTTAGGCCCAGGAGATTTCCTTTCCAGATGCACCATATCCCAGATTAGTTCAGCTGCCGGCACCATTCAAACCTGTCGACGGGGTCAGAACCACAGACACTAGGGAAGGTACCAACGACAGAGAGCTGAACTCAGCGTCCCCGGACTGTCCACGCTGCTCCCAGTCTTTAGCTGGGGGACGTGGAAGAGACTTTCTGGTGTCGTTTGATGGTTTTAGCTGGTCCAGTCCTCAGTCTAGTGACACAGGTGGGGCGCCGGGTGGGCTGTGGAGGGACCAGCCTCGGTCAGCCAGGGTGGGCGGGGCCCATGAGAGGAACAGCCTCTTTTAGGGGGGAAACGTTTGCTTTGATTTGGACACACTGAGCTTGAGGTGTCCACAGGACACCCGGGTGGAGAGGCCCACTTACTAGACCTTTGGGTGTTTTGTGAGTAGGGTCCTAGTTCTCGGTTGCTTTTGAAAAAACACGGAAATCTCCTGTCCTCCTTTAAATAATACGGACCTTCCAAACGCATTAAGGAGAGGGATGGAAATTCATAGTGGTCACTGTGTGATGATGTGTGATACCCACACAACTAGGGGAAAAACGGTTTGCCTTTCTGCTGCAGGTCACGTTGATGGTAGAACACAGCAGAGTGTCTCTCTTCTCCGGAGCCTGCTTTAGGGCTCTGCATCCACAAAACGGCAGGAAATGCAGATTCGGAGAGCTGCTGAGGGGCCTCCCCCTGGCTCCCTTGAAGTCGCCGACCTAACAGCCACGGAGGGCGTGGGTGTGGCCTGAGATGACCCAAGGAGAGCGACAAGGGCTGGCGGGGAACATTAAACACACCCCAGGACGGCCTCTGGTATGAAGTCGGACTCTCTGGCAAAAGGAGCGAGGCCTCCCTTGGGCGGGAGCTCCTCCCACCTCTTCCCCCAGGGAGCCCCCTCCCCACGCAGAGTTCTAGCCACGCGCTTTCCTGGGGCTCCGGGCGACCTGCCTCTGCTCTCGTGCGTGGCTCTCTCCGCCTGGTGTGCCCCCCCCCCCCGTCCATCACACCTCCCCTCCTCCCTGAACTGTCCTCCGCCACCTCCCAGCGCGTGTCTGGCCCTCTCTTCGGTGGCTGTCACCCTAATTCTTGTCACTCCCCACGCAGTAGCCACCACCCTCTTAAAGGCAGGGGCCGGTCCTCAGCATGTCCGCAGCCCCAGTGACAGACAGCGCGGACAAAGAGCAGGGCGTACTGGATGTCTGGTGACTGGGGCCGCGGCACCCCGTCCGCTAGGAGGTGTGTACAGCTTTGGGTGGAGGCCCCTTTCAACCGTGGTCTCGCACGCTGGCGTCATTCTGGAAGTCAGCTGTCTGCACTCACCCCGACCCTTGAAAAGAAAGGCGGCATCCTCATCCTTCCCAACAAACGAGACGAGCGTCTCTGATACAGAAAGGCTGCCAACGACTCCTGTGTCCACCAGCCTTCGGTTCCCCTCCGAGGACAATCAGTGGGAGACCCTCGGGTACAGCAGAAGGCCTCATGAAACGCACGAGCAGGCTTCTGGTTTTTGCACGAGCGTCCCTATGGTCACGGCCTTGTTTACACTTAGGCCTGGCTGTCTGAATGCATGTGAAGAGTGCTCACGTCCTTGTGGCAAATCCACTTCATTCCGGCAGGCAGAGTGATGGCCATTGTAACAGAGACTTTCCAAATGATTTCATCGTAACCCTCCTTTCTCTTGAATACCACAAGCCTCTTGGAAATGCACACACAGAGAGACACGGATGCCTAGAAACACGCCTGCGCCCAGACCACAGAGCGCGTCCACGGCACACGCTCCGTTCTGCGGCCAGCTTCCCTGCCCCGGCCCACCCCCAGGTTTGCCGGGAGAACAGGGCAGTCTGGGTGGCGCTGCAGTACCCCGGGATCCCTGTTCTGGGAAACGTAGTGAGTAGTGCAAACGAGACCTTAGATAGCAACAGCCTCAAGACCAGCCTTGCATCAGAGGGCTCTCATTTGGCGTCTCCTAGAAGCGTGTGTGTGTCTGCTCATCTCCCTTGCTGCTTGCTCGGTCGTTGCTATTAGCCTGTAGTCCGTGCTTCCTGTACCAGCCCCCCCTCCCAGCTCAGGACAGACAGACCGTGTCCCTGCAGGAATGGATGATCGGAGAGCCTTCGCCCACGAACTTGCTCACGAAACAGCCTGGCTCAGGCTGCAGGGCCCACGACTGCACCACGGCCCTTCTCACCCAGAGAGGGCAGACACGTCCCAGACCGGAGGGCACGCAGACACGGACCGGGGCTGCTCTTCAACGCACAGAGCGGCCTCCCTCCGCCCTCCGTGTGCGGGCAGTCTGAGAGCTCGGTCGGCAGTGGCGCACGTACATTTCCTCTCGCCTCCCTCCGTCTTCAGGTTCGGGGGAAGAAAGGAAGTGACAGCCCACGTGTCTGTAGGAGCAGGCCTAGGGGGAGCTGTTCCCCATAACTGTGCGGACGCCACGAAATGGTCAGACACCAGAACTGGGCGAGTAAGAAGGCACGTCCCTCCCCCACCAACGAATTGAAAACATGGCTGCTTTACCCCATCTCTAAGGCGGCTGCCCCTCCCTTTGCTTCCTCCCTGGAAGGATTCACCAGGAAAGCACAGGAGAGTCCGTCTGGAACGCTTCTATCTGCGAGCTGGGCGGGGGGTGGGGGGGGTGGGGGTGCGGCGAGTGTGGTGTCCTTCTCCCGGCAGCCGGGGCAGCGGTGCCCGTGACCCACCCTGAAGCCCACTGCCCAGGTGTGGGGCGCCGTACACCACCGTGGCTGCCAGGGGCCGGGGGCGTGCTGGTATGTGACAACCAGTAAAGCTCTGAATTCTGGAATTACGGGAAACTCGTCTCCAGTCGCACGGACTGCACCTTCGTCACACACAGAACTCCCCAGAGCCCAGCAGAGCAGGTGTGTGTCACGGTGGAATCAACCGGAACATGTTTCCCTTCTCTCGTGGGGTACAGAGAGTCAGCACTCACAGAATTCAGTCCTGGGAGCAAGCTGTTTAGGAAGTAATAATAACAGCACCCCCTGCAAGTCAGGCCCTGCTTTAAGTCCTTTAATGCATTAACTCACTCCATCCCCCCGTGGGAGGGGCGTATGCATCCCACTCAGGAAGCTAAAAACGTGGCCGAGGCCCCATGACTGGTAACAGGGGAGCCGGGGCTTGAACCGAGAAACTGGCTCCAGGAACCGCTTGCAAACACCCAGCTGACGCGTCTCCGACGGTCGGCATCGCTGAGCACCCCACGGACTCAGCCCCGCTGTTTCTCTGTGCTTGGGGGGCTCTCTGAGGGGGCCGGTGATACCGAAAGGCTCTGGCTGCAAAAGCTGAGCAGAAAGAGACACTTATGCGGCCAAGGCTAATCCCACACGAGAGCAGTGTCAGCGGAACCGTGCGGTAAACTGAGGACTCTGAACCGGCGTCACAGAAGGACAGAAACCCAGCACTCCCGGGTCCAGACGCCGACCCCTCAGGGGCCCAGCCGGCCCAGAGAGAGCGGCGGTCACCGTCCCAGAAACACTTGTGAGACCCTGCAGAGCGCCCGCCAGCTGGGCTTTGAAACATTTGTCGGACGGTGACTTCTGATCGCCTCTCCAGACTGTGAAAAACTAACAGATGTCTCAGGGCAGGTGCTTAAGTACAATAAGTGGAACTAAGGCAGTTTTCAGAACAGAATATTAAAAGGGGATTTGAATTCTTTAGCCCCAATTTCTTGCCTGTGCCATTGAGCAGGTAGATGATGAAGATGAAATAATAAAGTCTTGTGTTTTTTTTTTCACTACAGAATATCAATGAGGTAGTTGTGGTTCTTATTTGTTACATTTCAGAATACATAAAATTGCAGACTCTAGAACCAACTGCAAATAA